TGTGTGCTGACGTTTTAAGTTCCTGTTGAGTACGTCTGAGGCCGCATGCCCTTGATGCTAAATAATACATTAAACTGATGACATGCATGCATATGTTTGTGTAATTTAATGAAATTGATCTTTTATTGTCATCTGAAGGTTTTTAGACTGTAGCGTCGCCAATATCAGACTCCAATAACTCCTTTTATTTGTAGTTGGCTGGGGATTGTATTTAAGGTACCCCGAGTGTGTAAACTGAGATTATGGGTCAACCACCCAGTAATTTGGAGAGCCAGAACTTATTGTAAAAATGGAAAAATAAGATGAATAAGTCCAGGTCAAGTTTAACTTTTTTTTTTTCTTCACTTGAACCAAGTGAGTGCTCAGTGAGCCTGCACAAACACTGCTTTTTTTGTATGTGACAATGTTGAAATCTAATTTGTCACACCACTGCAGCTGCTATTAATTGTAGCATTGCTTTCAAAAAATAGCAGTGTTTGTGATTGCTCTAATTAATATTTAGGCTTAACTCTTAAACTGTGTGGCGTTCCTTCAGATGACAATGAGAGCTGCCGGACCAACCAATCAACAGCCGCCCGTCAGTGGCGCTCCACCTAATCAAGTTCCGACTAGCGGACAAGCCCCGCCCCAGGGTCCCATCCTTCGCCTCACAAATCCAGGAGCCAATCCACAGCTTCGCAGCCTCCTTCTCAGCCAACAGCAGCCAGTAAGAGTGCACCAGTCAGCTGTTCGAATGAATTACCTTGTAGTAAATGCTTGATTCTGAAACTGTTGTGCGTCTCTGTCCTTGCAGCAGGGTGGGGTGTCTCACATGCCAAGCATGATGTCTCACCAAGGTTTGGGACAACAGATGGTCCACCAGGCCCCAGGAGGTGGGGCTCAAATGCAGAGCCAGTGGAGGCAACCCATGACAGGTCAGCAAGCATCCCACAGAGAGATGGAAAGAGTTCACTAATATTTGACTCAAGTAGGCATTTAGAATACGGGTCAGGAAATGTGCTCATTGAAGGATATTAAGCTTGACATCTAAAGAAAATAATAACTTTTAAAGGTCACGTTTCTAGGAACTGACAACAATTTAGATATGGAAAAAAATAAAGAGCAATTCTTGTTTTATTCCATTAAAGATATTTCTGCAGGCTTTTATTTTCAAAGCAAATTTTAAAGCCACCAAAGCAGCCATCTGTATCTAACAAAGGTTCATTGACTCGTTTGAGTTGAAGATTTCATTCAAGTGTGTGTGTGTGTGTTTGTGTTCTGGGCAAATTCTGATTCGTGACATTTTATTTTTGTGCACATTGATTGAAAGAAGGCTGCACACGTTCTGGTGCATTAATCTATTGATTTCAAACTTTAAATGTTTTCATTGCTTAAAAAAACAAGAGCAGTCAGCCTCTGCTGAGCCTGAAAATTCCCTCAATGCCACGCATGAGCTGAGCCCATGGAACCAGAAGGATTTCTGGGTGCACATTAGTTCATATGATATATGTTTTTATGATAGAAGTTCAAACAGGATGAACATGTGCTTCATTTTTCTTATTGCAATTTGATGTGTTTTTGTGAAAATAAGACTAGAGATGTCCAATTATATCACGTCTGGCAATGGAATACTTCACAAGATACCCGGACCAACATCTGGATAGACTCCAGAAAGTTAATTACATAATCTTCTTGGCAGAGGTAAAACGATGTTACATTTTGGTAGGAAGTGGCGTGACTCAGAAAAGGTTGATGAGGAGGGCAGAAAGTCTGAGCCGCAACATGGAGAATCTGGCCATTTTTAAAAATAAAAGACCCAGTAGAGATTAAATGCTCTACTTCTGAAATGTTCCTTTTATGATGTGAAGCTGTGAGATGAACAGGCTTTTTGGATCATGCTTTATAGGGATATGTCCATTGTCTTCCATGCAGTGTAATGTTTATGCCACAGCTGGTAGGGCTGTGCGATATGACCAAAATCTCATATCCCGATATAAGACATTTATCGTCTCGACAATGATATATGTCACACAAATTTTACATTTTCTGTAAATTTTGTGAATCTCAGGCAAGATTTTCAGCTGGGGGGCGTGTACCTGGAGTCGAGTGTTACATAAGTTGAAACGGCTGCAATTCTCTTTGAGTATTTATTACACGGCGTGCTGCAGGGAAAAGCCTGTTCTAAGGTTTATTTTTTAGCACCTGACGGCTCTTTTTAGCTTCTCGTCCGTAAACGTTCTGCATAGTATTTCACGTGATTCAGTTGATTTTAAAAAATCAGGACAGAATCTTCAGCTTTATTGTGAAAGGTCTATGTGGAAAATAAACAAGTGGACGGCAGAGCCACGCGATGACTTTACCGTCATTGTTGCTAACGACAACGCTT